ACATTTCAGTGTGCCAAAATTCTCACTCGCGTACAGAACTGTGACTCATCTTGCAAAATAAACAATTTTTTTTACGAATTTTAACATCCTGAAAGAAATGGCAGAACAAATTGAATTTAACCAACAAAAAAAACTTATTACTAAAGAAAACACGGACGTTTTAACACCAAGTACTAGTAACCCGTCGGATAACCCCGAGAAAAGATCACCTAGTAAAAAGAAAACTGTTAACATATTCCCTTTCTCTTGGCCGGAAATATTTGATTCAAAATTTATGTCCCTCTTATCAAAACAAGATCTAGTTCTGAAGAAGATAATCAAAGCAATTGAGGAAGATCGAAAACAAGATATTTTACAACTGGGAAATTACTATAAATCGTATTTAAATAATTTACATGTCAGTGGAGGATGTCTTTATCTGGACAACCGATTAGTAATCCCAGCATGCCTAAGATCGACTATGCTCAACAGACTGCACGAAGCTCACCCCGGCCAGTTCGCAATGAAAAGTCTGGCAACTCAATACATCTGGTGGCCGAAAATTTACCGTGAAATCCAAGTCCACGGCGAAAACTGCATTGAGTGCGTGAAAGCAGGTAAAAACTTGAAACCTCTTATAAAACACAATACCCTAGGGGAACTCCCAATGGTCGAAAAGCCAAACCAAGAAATGGAATTAGATTTCGCCGGTCCGTTACCTTTAGTATAGGGAACAAAAAAATACATATTGGTGTGTGTAGACAGATTTTCAAAATTCCCATCAGCTCAAATAACATCCAGCACATCGGCAAAATCTATCATAAACTTCCTTAGTAAATACATTGCTTTACACGGGATACCTAGAACCATTAGAACAGATCAAGGATCTGGTTTTATCTCCAAGGAAGTTAGAGAATTCTGCCACGATCACAACATAAAGGTAATATTTAGCCCAGTGGGTGATCATAGAGCTACCGGATTAGTGGAACGTCTAATCAGGACCATTAAGGAAAGACTCTTGGTTATGGCACAAGAACGTCCAAAACCTTCACTAGAATCTGCACTCCTGAAAATAATAAAATGCTTAAGAACAGTAACTCAGCAGTCGCTTAACTGCTCTCCTTTCGAAGCACATTTTGGTAGATCCCCTAACACCATCTGGCATAATTTAGTCAAATCACCCTCTTCGAATAACCTTGATTGGAATAAAACTTTGTTATGCATAGTTAAGGGCAAAAAACTAATGAGCCGAGAGCGAAGACACGACTGGGACGCCCCCGACGATATAGAAGATGGAGAAGTTGATGAAAACTCATCATCCTCGGAGGATATCTCAAATGCAGTGAGATATGTACCAACCAGTGCTGGATCCCCAGTAAAAGGGCTTTCTCGATCAGAAAAAAGAGATGCCTTGGGCATAAAGGACTCAATACTGAACAACCCGCCGGGTAAGACCATTATTTATCGAAAAGTCCAAGATAGAACGAAAAATGAACCATACTATAGAGTACTCAAGGACGAAATCGTAAGGGAGTCAGATCACACTGTGACTTTGAAAAATAAAACGTAAATAAAACGTAAATCTGATTTAGCCATTAAAAGACAGTGCACCCAGAAGAAACCAAGCCCAAGAAAACGAGATCAGTTAGTTAGATTCTATGCGACTAAAGGATTGAGGAAAACTGCAAAACCGCCAAGAAATGTCGGATTTAAAAGCTCAAGAACGACCCAAAGGAAAAGAAATCTCCAGTGGAAATTCGAAGAGCTTGATATTGCGAGACGAAACGCGGCCATGAACGGCTCTAGGGAAACTCTTCTCAGAGAGGAAGAAGAACAGAGAAAGAGACTGAGAACCCCGATAGGCCTCGAAAGTGACCAAGAATCAAGCCCGTCGGGCAAACCCGACCTTCATAAAAGTTGTGTAAATGAACCCGGAGTGATGATCGAACCACGTGAAGAGATTTCAGACGACAATGCTAGCGACCTAATTTCACTAAAAGACCTCAAGGATAAAACATTACTCGAAGCTACAAAATCAGACGAACACCTAATCTCCGACAGAACAGATCCTAAGCTAGAAATATCAGACTACGTTGATCAGAAGGTCGAGGTAGATGAGATTCCCTTGATCGACTTGGATTCTGGCGATAATGAAAGAGACCTACAAGCGACCCCACAGTTGATTCTCTTGGACACTATGGAGGAGGCCAATAAAGCGAGTCAAGAAATGCCGTTTCTTCCAGAGAATCCCGGAGGAGAATTTTCCCAGACCACTGAAGAACTAATCGCCATGGCGGAGACGCAATCTAAACAAATACACTCTGACCGTACCACGAAAACACAGAAATTGTCCGGTACCGCTAAGAGGAAAGCGTCATCTCCAATGAAATCACCACCCTCGAAAAAATTGCCAGAAATCTTCACACGTCAGAACACCAGACCTATGCGAACTAGGCAGCCTCCCAAGATGCTAGGTGAGAGAGTGCTTACCAGTGTAGTTGATTTAACTAATGAAGATCATGATGGCCCAGTATTTAATTCACCTAGTTTGGCCTCAGCATGCACAACGATAGAAGCAACTACCGTAGAAATGGAAAGCCACCAAGTCGACCTAGTAGATCTGACAACATTAACACCACCTTCATCATCGCGTCCCACTATAGTTCACTTGCGGGAAGAAAACTATGCGTGCCCAAGTGACCCGAAGCCCTCTATAACAGATGACCAAAAGACTCCTGACAAGAAGGTCAAGTTTAGCCCTGATGTCTGTTCCGCACAATTTAACCCCGCGGGCCTACCTTATGAAACCTCAGCTTCAACATTCGTCCCCATTGTACCTGACCCAGACTGGCTGAACACTGCCTCTATCATTTCGGCGATAGAACTCCTTGGACGGCCAATGACGCTGGAGGAGTTAAGGAGATGGACAATAAACAAAGCAGCGAATCGGGAAACTAATTAGATGTAGGAGCTCCAATCCAGATGCTATCATAAACGTTCATGAACTCTCAAAAACTTCATTAAAGAACTTTTAGTACCTTTAGTATCTTGTTTATTGTTGAATGCTACTAACATTCCATTGCCTCTAGAGCCATACAAACTTCTAGTGCTGTCGTATTAATCCAAAAAAAAAAAAAATTGGTAACACTTATAACCTTATTTTAGCCATATAATTTCGCCTGAATGTCGGTAAAATTCTTTTCACCCATTGGGCGCTACCACCGGATAACCATTAGATTTATCCATCTTAGTACTACCCTCTTATTTTGCTTATTCTCAAAGATAACTCCCTGCCTACCTTACTGCCCAATTCAACCTAGTGCTATTCCAGTTTCTTGCTCACCCATAGTAACCGTTCTACATTTATTTCACCCGACGAAAACATACTATTCGATCCAAGGTGCTTTGTTTTGATTTTTGGGTTACTGCTTGAAGAACATGTCTTCCGGCCTATCGGGCCCGTTCATCGGTCTTTTCCGTACCGTACACCCGTTCCTTCGACCTGATAACCGTGTAATTTTACTTAGTATGTAATACGCTTTCTTGGCCCTCGGTGCTTTACCAAGTTTGTGTCCCTACTGATCTAGATCCACTCTCGGGGGTCTTAGACAATGCGCCTACTTATTCAATCATCCTAGCACTTAATTACTTTTGTTTTGTTCTCTTCTTGTGAGGCGAAAGTAATAGATTATAGATAAATTTACGCGGGGAATGTAAAAGTATTACTGTTTGTTCATTTAACCTCTGATCTTAACTGATCGTTGACCTTTAAGTTGTTAATTTATACACCTGCCAAAAGCGCAATGGCTTTTGGTAGACTTAGAATTTGGCACTATCTTTAATGATACGAACAAATCAACCGAAACCAATTCAATCTTTTAAACCTCTCTTACTTTAGTTAGCATCACCGTCTTTTATTTAGTCTTAAATAAAAGCCTACAGATTTTAGTAGGAATCTTAATCAACCGTAGTCTTAATCTATTCTTAGTTTAAGTACACTCTTAATCAACTACGAGTGGTATCCTAACTTTTTAACAGTTCCTAATAAGGGGAGAAAACTTATGAAACAGAAACCACATAAAATGTCAGCTTCGAATAGCCAAGTCTCACTGGAAACAATTACAGACGTTAATATCAGCAAAGTTTTTTTAAGTTAGCAGTTCTAGACAACGGCAGCTTAAAGATTGAAGTATGGCAGCACGTATGGGTCTCTTTCACTCATTGGTATTATTTAGAGACTTTTTGGACCAGAATCAAGTTTTTCTTATTTGTGTTTTTCTTCTTGAAACATCATTAACTCAGTTGCTAGCAGCTATGCACTTCCTTCGTTATTTGCCATCCTCAGACGTTTGACAAAATCTTGGTTGCCATCTTTCAATATCTCTTGTCCACTGTAACCGATTTTGAATAACGACACCATTTTTCGTTTCTCTTGATCGCTCTGAATTGATTGTAGATCTTCGAGAGCTCTTCGGTTGCGCGGGGGAAGATGCAGTTATCTTAGTTTTGACAGAATCATGTTTGGGGCGACCTTTTTGGGAACAATGGGCTTCCCATTGCTTTGAAATGGTTGCTTGCCTAGCATCACCCGACGATGATATACGTTATTCTCGTACTCAAAACAATATAAAAAAAATTCGTCTAACAATATGGGTTGATGGAAACATTGTTGAGAGGGTGACAAGTTTTTATATTCGCGGGATTAATTTTGTACTCAAGCTTTTGCAGGAGCAATTCAATTATACTTTTCTTGACGTGTTCATGGTTCAATTCCACATTTTAATCAATAATGTAGTCCTTTTGATTATATCCGAATTCTTCATTCTTCAATATCACAATCTCTTCACTTTGTTTCTTGATTCTTCTGTCTTTATTGCGAAGATCTTCGAGAATATCTTTCGGAGTATTCTTCACAGATTGATCAACATTTGTACATTCCTTGTTTTGGAACGATTCAATTCCCCCCCCCCCCATTTTTCGCTTCTGAAATTGTCGATTAGGAATGCGACGATTAATTAATTATTTAATAAGTTCGGAGCGAAACGTGTGAGGACGATATATACGAAGTTATGGGAGGCGTAACATGTGAGATGTGACTTGTGCCACTAATTTTAAGAAGGTCGAAACGTGTGAAGAGCAAAATGCGTGGCTAAATTAAGAAAGATGATCGAAATGTATGAGGCAAAACGTGCGACATTCAAACAACTGGTCAATCTGTCCAAGCAGGAGTAAATTCAAATTTTAACTAAGTCAGTCGTTAGAAACGCACCTTTCTACTTAAAAAAGCTATGCTACTAAATGAAACAGAACGCACCTTGCCATTATTTACAAATTTTTAAACGGTGAAAAGATTCCGTGTACGAGGCAGCATTGAAGACAAAATAAAAACCAATTAGAAAGCAAAACCAAAACAAGTTTTGGTAAAATTTGAAGGATTATACAAAAAGTGCAAAAAAGCTGTTTAATTCTTGATAAAAAAATTTTTAAATTCACTTACTTCTTTGGCATAGATGTGTCTTTCGATAGGTCCGCTCTCAACATAATCGTACCTAAACATGCAGAAAATTTTTTGGGTCCAGTGAAAACACGCATTTTGAAAAAAAAATTTCGACCTGTTTTAGGTAGGCCAAAATGATTTTCCGAGCGCTCCCAGAACAGTATAAAGACCTTTTTGGGCACTTATTGGAAAATTTTGATCAAAAATTGCGTTTTTTTTTGGCGCGCGCTTCCTTTCAAAGTTAAAATATTTTAGCGCCGAAGACGCCTCCAGAAAAATTTTAGGGTTGGTCGGCCTAAAATGGATGTAAAATAATACCAAAGGGGGATCCTTTGGTTTGTGAGGGTGTCTTTCCCCTAAATCTGCCTCTGAACAAGTAGCAATAAAGAGATGTGGAATTTGAATTAGGCTGTAGCGATTTCCTCAACTTGAAACTTCTACACTTTTCAACACCCCTTTTTTATATTCACATACTCCTCATGTAGAACTATTTCACCGCCTTTCCCCTTCATTAAAACCTACTCAGATGCATTTTGCGAGAGAGCGACAGAGATGATGATGATCATAGCGAGGGACAGAAAACCTCCCAACACAGAACTCACGAAGCACAGGTAGTTCTAAATTAAACATATCCAAAAGAGATTTTCAACTGAATATTTTTTTCTGAATAAATCGTGTGGATCATCGGGACTTACGAAGCATTCGCTGGCACTGGTTGGTCGTTTGTGGGAAAACATACTGCTGAAGAAACCAACTGACAATTGCTGAAACAGTCGCAGAGCTACCTAATACAAACACTCAAGCGATTTTCTTGTCAACTGATTATGTTTGAAAATAGGAAATTCAACAATATCAATTAACGCTCAAGAAAACGTAACTTCTACAAAAAAAAAGATGTAATTAAAGAAAAAAGTTTTAATTAGTAAGCTAATCGTAAAAGTGTCAAAGGTGTTGAAAGTGGGTGCCGGACATCAAGCCGACGGGAGTTCAAGCCGAATTGTAAAATTAGGGACTTCAAGCCGAATAATTCCTTATAAGTCGTGAAATATGAACAATTTGAAAACTTTTTTGAAGAATTTCTGAATTTCATGATCTTTCTTCACTAGTTATTGGCGTGTGCATATAATTTAAGCTTCCAAATGATGTTCCGGAAAGTTGAAAAGTAAAGCATGGTTGAAGGCATTTTTTATGTTTATAATTTATGCATTTCAAAAACCGGCTGATGTTATTAACGGATGCGAATCACAAGTGGTGCATTGTCATGAATAACGCTTATTATAGACTAAACTTGCCAAAATTTTAGAAAAGCAACATTTTGCAGATGATAAAATAGCGTTTTGGGGTGCTTGTAAAGTTATAATTTCGGCTTGAAGTCCCTTCGGCTTGAAGTTCCGTCGGCTTGTTGTCCTAGACCCGTTGAAAGTTTATCATAAAAACCGACGAAAGTTGAATACTTTATATCAAGCTGCTGCTTAAATTATATACCTCTGCTGAAGTAAAATCTAAACTGGACCCTAATGTACCAATTCAACCAAAGATTTGGCTCTCAGAAGACAGTATAAAAGAATAGCGAAAATGAGCCAAAAAATCAAGCGAGACAAGTTCGAATCTCTTGATAGCAAACATCAAATGTAGCATTTTTAAACAATAAAAGATCGGCGGCAGTTGAAAATTGATTCGCGAAAATTTCAGACCGTAAGCACAAGGGTCCAATGTCTAACCCAAAAGTTCAATATCGCTTGTGGTACGATTTCCTTTTAAACAAGATGTCGTCAAAAAACTACGTTGATACGAATTCCAAAATTTTACAAATAGCAATTAACCCAAAAATGTAAAGAGAAAGAATGAAAGGGTAGAACAGCTTCTTTCGCTTTCATTTGAAAAACGACTTTGGGTTAACACAGTTTGCAATTTAGTTCAGAAAAAGATTTCGTTTGCTTTGCTAAAAATTAACTGATATTCTCTAAAAAGGATTTTGTATTGCTTTGTTTTTTTTTTTTGATTTGGTGATGGAATGTTTGTGTAAGGGGTGTTTTTTTTTCTTCTCCAGATACTTTTCGAATATTTGAATATTTTGCTAGTAACTTTTGACGTAATTTCTAAAAAAATATTTTGCTGAAATTCAAAATATATATATATATATATAAATATTTCGAACTTCAACATTTTGTTTAGCGAGCGGTTGATCAATCCTCTGCACTCTGCTATTAATTATTGCTGTCACGAGATCTAAAGCAAATTACAGATTTTTACCACAGTTTTATCTCTCTCCACACTAACTATTTTTTTTCTGGAAATGGGACTAAGAAAAAAATACTACAAGGGCTGATCTAGGATTTTCTCGAGGGGGGGGCTCATTTTCAAAAAACTTTCAAAAACTTTGACGACCTTTTTTTCAGGTCGACCAAATTGATTTTCCGAGCTCTCCTAAAGCACTAAAATATTCTGCGCCGTAGGCAAATTTTTGAAAAAACAGGTCAAAAAAGCAGTTTTTGAGCACTTTTTGAAATTTTTTGACAAAAAACTCACGTTTTTTTTTGGCGCGCGCTTCCCCTCAAAGTTAGCATATATTGGCGCCCAAGGCGCCTTTAGAAAAACTTTAGGGTCAGTCGGCCAAAAATGGATTTCTTAAAAAGTACCAAAGGGGGGACCCTTTGGGTCGGTAGGGGGTCGAATCTCTTTTAAGATCCATCGGGTTGTTAGTGGGTCGAAATCCTCGAGGAAAGAATATTCCACCCCAATCCTATACCCACTCCTGGTTTTGCACTAGTGTATATATCACCGACCAAATGTCTACTGGCCGAATAATATCTATTGAATCGTGTTTGTTTCCGTTAATTTGAACTGACCAGTGTGCTGGAGAATATGCATGCGATGGCAAGGGGTAAGCTCCCGTATCTGGGGAAGGCGAGCAGGATGAGGGCCGCTAGACACATGGTGACACAGGTGAAGAACATCAGAGTCAGTCCGGCTGTCATGCACTCCCGCCAGTTGTGCTCCAGGTGGGCCACACAGGTGCTGTCATCAAAATAACTTCACTTCAGTCAGAAACTTCTAACCAAACCTCGCTTGAAATTGTACATTTACACAGTAGTTCGGCTTGGGAGAATAGCAAAAAGGAATCCACCCTGTTGCATGGCATCTCCATTTATAAATGGAATAATATACTTTAGAATATATAAGTTTATATGAACGAGTGTTTAAGGGTGACATTGGCAGGATTGATTTACATAACCCCTTTTTTCCTAATGAATTAACTCTGTTTGTTTTTAGTATCGTAAGTAACGCAAAAGAACGCGCTTCCTCTGTTAGCGCATGTCGGGTTTTTGCTGCACCTGTGTTTCTGACTCATGAGACAATGGCAAAATAGGTCCTTACAGTGTTTTAGGAGAGAAAATCGAAAAACGGAAAATCAAAAAATCAAAAATCAATTAGGTCGACGTAGATAAATTTTGTGATTTTTTCCGTTTTTTTGAAAACCTTACCCCCCCCCCCCCGCCTTTAACAAAAAGCCTAGATCCACCCATGGTCGACTATGTGTTTCTGTGATGTTTTTTGTGCTTGGAAAATAACAGCCGTTTTTTATTTCTGTGATTTTTCGTGCTCTCAAATGACCTTATTTGAGTTAGAGTTTTTTTGAGGAATATTGCGTTTTTTGATTTTTAGTTCAGCTTTTTGTAAAAAAAAAATTCCAAAGTTGCATTTTAAGACATCCATTTTTTACATGATCATTATCATATATCATTGATAATGATTTTACAACATCTTTTACCAAACGTCATTGAACTGTATCCATCTGGATCACCTGTGATTGGCGCAGCAGATTCTGGGCAAAACGGGGGGCTGGGGATCGATCAGAACTAGTCTTGAAGGGGGGTACTGCACTGTCACTGCCTGGTAGCTGTTGCTTCCTCGTACTGTGCTCTCGTAAGCGTGTCTGTAGTTGTTGAAAGCCTGATGACTTTGACTCTTATTCATTTTCAATCTCGTAAATTAAATGTAATAAATTGTTATGAATTGTTAAATTGTAATAATAAATTGCAAATTGTAATAAATTTAGCACGAAGAAATATAAGACAAATTAACTTGTAACAATAAAATGAAGGTTGAAGTTGCTGCGCAAGTAGCACCAAATGTTCTGACCAGTTAACGTTGAAAACAAAACATAAAAAACTTTAAGAAAAAACTTGCAAAAAGCTAAACATTTTGGCAAATTCTAGTTATTTTTAAGTGCCGTTTATCATTCATTAGTAAAACGTTCTCTAGAATATTCCAAAATCTGGCTCCAAGTTCAAAATCCGATTGGAAGTGTTCGTACCAATATAACTTAATCGACGCATTATGAAGCCAGAAGATTTACAACACGAACAATGATGAAGTCGAAACAAAGAAGCAACGAAGATTCAAAAAAGAAAAAGAAAAATAACCATAACATATTCACACAATTGTTCAAAAATGGAACTGTTTATTTAAAATAGGATACTTATTTCAGGAAATTTATTGACTGGTCCGGTTTTTTAGAAAAACTTTTCCCTCTGACAATGTGTAAGCAAAAGTGTAAACAAAAGAGTGGAGTAAAAAAATTTTTGTGTCATTCCAACAATTTTTGGAGGCAATCCAATTTCCTAACGATGATTGGTAAGGGAGTGGCAGAAAATTAGAGGTTGTTGGCTTTCATTTGTTTTTTTTATTGAATCATTCCAACATTTCCTCTGCTTTACCGTATAATGGTGGAAAAATGGGATAGCTTCAATAAAAACAATGAATGAAAGCCAATAAACTATAATAGTATGCGACTCGCTTTTTCGAAGCTGTTGTGATGACAAGTTGTGTTTGTGTTAGAGTAGAAGCGACTTCAAATCGAAATCGAATTAATAAAAAAAACTTGTGTGTTAAAATGAGTGATGCGTAGTGATTCGTTGGATATATTTCATAACTGCAAAAAAAAATTATTTATCTCTGAAAATGAAAACAAATAAAATCCGGTCAATGAGTCTGTCCTGCTAAGCAGCTCCTCGATATATTTTTTGTTAGGAATCTGAGAAAATTTACCAAAGCCTGTAAACTGTTTTCAACTAGAAGCTGTTCGGAAAAAAATCCCCAAGAAAACAGAAGTTAAGAATCACGTAATATTTCGGCCACAGTTATCATTGCAGTTAGAATTGTTCTTCAAACAGATCAAATCTGCAGCCGTTAAACCCGCTGATAATGTCATTTGTTCAATCGATGTACTTAATTTTTTTGCTCTAAAAAGGGTAAGGGAACTCACCGTAGAAAAGGGGAAGATTTGTTAAATGATCTGTTCTTCGCTTAATTTGTCTCTGATTGGCTGTTTTCCACTTTCCGCCCATATTTGAATTTCAGTTTTAAAAAAACTTGTCATGATGTAAAAGAAGTTTTGCATGGTGAACAAACTAAATACTGCGATCATATTTGTTGTTCTTACCTTACTTTAGAACAACATGCCTTCAGCCATAGCAACACGTAAAACCATTGAAAAAATGGGAAATTTGAAATGGGGGGGGGGTTGAAAAGAGATTTTTGATTTGATAAAAAATCAGACCAGTTTTTGCCGACACTGATAAATTATTTTTTAATAATATATTAGGAATCCGAATCCACGAGTGAAAGGAAAAAATATGATATCAATTTGGTCCGTTTATAGTGGCGGAGAATCATAGTTAGGCCAGAGTTCATTCCAGTTTCTTTGTTACTTAGTCGCAACATAAAGTGCCTTTAAGCCGTAGTTTTAAGATGTATTATTAAAATGAAAGCCTCGCCATCTAACAATAATACTAAAAATGGTTTCTTTACAAAAATTCGAAGAATAGTTTTATGTAGATATCTGTTGAATCACTTTTATGCGTCGCTTTTAGAAATTGTTGGTTAGGAAATTCTTGTCTCAACAGAAGATTTTGACTAAACATCTAAGGCGACAAATAACAAGAACATTGTCAAACAATAGTTTCCAGTTGCTTTTGTAATACAAAGTCTTGACGATGATTTTGATTTGAAATATTATTAATCCTTTTATTATTATATTTCCTTTTCAATCAACGCTCAATTTGTTCCAGTTGAGGTAAATTTTCAAGTTCCTCATAATAAAAAAATTTGGCCTCTATTTATACGCCTAAAACGCTCCTTACTCCTTTTTTGTGCGAAAAGTTTTCTATATCATTATCTGTAATAGAAAATGTTACATGCGTTGTTTTTGTAACTCAAAATAATAATTATTCAACCAAAAAAATGAAAAAGAAAATTCAAGTCAGTTTCATCCCTTAAATTTTAGACCCCCGCTTATACGGAGACAAAAGGAGTAAATAGGTCTAACTTAGGTCTATTCAAAACTGATGGCCGAAATCGATGACTAGTGATAAGCAGTAATAACCGTATTTCAAGGTCACTTACTGTGTCCTACACTTTCAGCCTGCGTTCCTGCTACTAACTAATCGACGTAACCGTCTCAGTGAAACTATAACGGTTGATTCAGGCTCAAGTGATTGTGTACTGAAGAGTTGCAGTCGATGTACTGCTTGAATTTACTCTTAGCCAGTTTAAACATAAAAGCTAAATTACAATACTTCTATACATTTATAGTTTTCGTACTCAGAATAATTAGGAGTATGTTTGGGTTATCTGATTGCGCAGCCAACGTTATGAATCATAAGAAGCACTTAGAATAACGGTGAGATCGCTAGATCATGTATTTGATTACTTGTCAGGGAAATGATAGTCTGTGAGAAAGGAGCTCTTACTTGACATCTAGATTCAGGTCTACCACAGCCTGACCGATTTCAGCTGCAAGATTGGTACCACGTGATAGTTCTAGACACAAAAAACGGCATTGAGTCGCAAAAAAGCTTCGCTCAATAAAATAACTCAGTGTGGAATGTGGCGAAGTAAGACAAACGGACTATGCTTAGACAGGACAGATAGTCTTTTGTAGATCTTTTGCGAATCGCACGAACTTCAATTAACATTCTTATTAGCCAACAGTCTTTTCAAGTGGCACTGGAAAAATACTTTCTAGTAGTTCCGTGTTTTAAGAGAAACTTTCCACAGAACCACCTTATTCATGGGAAGGATGAATTGGAAAAATTTTGCAGGCGAAATCGCTAAGAGAAGAATATAATCCAATTGATATTTTAACCTTACCCGATCTTTTAACGAAATCGTTTTCCAAAATTTGAAACAACACCAGCTTAAAACCATTGGATGACCTCAATAACAGGTTGAAAAAAGAGCTGCAATCATTCAGTAGAACTTTTGTCTTTTGTTTCTATTTGTTTTTGTATCAGATAGGAAAAAAAATAAAAAGACAATAACGCAACAGTTAAAAAATATATATATATTCAAATTCGGAGATACTTGCTTTGGAATCCACATGATAATTTTTTAGCGCATTCCAAGGTTCTTTTTTCCCCAACCTGTAAAACTTGGCCAGTAGAAGAATTGGTCACTGTTTCCAATTGTAATGAAAATTGACATATAGACTATTTAGGCCATGACAAACATATTTGGTCTCCTTAAATAAACTGATAAGACCATTCGTTGCACCAATAAATTGATGCTCATGTGAGGTGGGGGTAAACGGAAAAAGAACCATTTCCAATTTAGTTAATATCTTCACTCGGTTATGAGATTAAAACTTAGCAATGGCCACGGCTCTGAAGCAGTTAAATGGCCTACAAATTATTGTATTTTATTCTCTCGACCTTTAAACTTTCTTAGTCAAAATGTCGATTTTTTTGTTTTTTATTCAATCAAAAATGATTTTCTGAGCTCTCCCCAAATCCTTATAAAGACCTTTTTTTAGACGCTTCAGAACAATTTCAAGGCTAGTCAGCCAAAAATGGATATCTCAAAATAGTACAAAGGTGAACTTTTTGGGTCAGCATGCGGCCGAATTCCTGAAAAAGGCCGTCCACCCCTCGAATTCCACCCTAAATCCTCTACTGATTTTTCCTTCTAATTCACGTTCAAAATCAAACATTTTTGATTTCTAAAATCTAAAAAACACTGCTCGTATCAGGACGAAGCCCTGAATGTTCCGACTGCTTTTTAAGGTTTATGGATCAGTAATAACCTATAAAAATTAAATTAAATAAAAAAAAAAAAAATTTTTTTTCTTAAATTTAAAATATTTATGAAAATCATCACCCACACGTCATATAAAATACAAAAGGATGAATTTTGTTCCTTGTAACAAATCACTTATGGCAAATAAGCTTCTTTCAACCAATTTGGAACGATTTCTAAGACGGATTAAATCTCCGTTTACGCGTGTTAATAGCGCGAAATAAATCAAGAGCGTTAATTGTCCAAAATTGGCCAAAATGGTAATCTTTAAACCTCCATAACTTTACAAAATATAATCACAAGTAAAATATATATTTTTTTAATTTGAGTTCAGGACATCAATACATTTCGGATAATTTTTAATAATTCTGTCAAAAATGGCTATTTAAAAAACCGAAATTTGTCTAAAAAAAAAACCCCCACCCGAGCACACATATTCCGTTACTTTCGTATCGAATATCGGATCAATAATTTCAGATCGTTTTTAGGCTTTTTTCCGGCAGTTTTTTTTTAAAAAAATGATGGAATATTTGTGCTTGTGATAGCTGTTGAATTAACTCAAGTATTTGTAAAACAGAATAAGTAAAACGTTTTAATTTAGACTGCTAACTTGTCTTATTTTAGATCTGAGATCATGCCTGTCTTTTCATGTCTCTCTATCAACAGCAATGTCCTAACTGACTATTGCGTTTGGCCTGCGATGAACGGCCTTGAATAATAATAACAATACATAACAGAATAATTAATAGCACTATTCTCAGAGGTTACTGTGGCAGCAGTACTACACGGTACCACATTCCCCTGACGACAACAAAATTTTATATAATACTTTATGAAATTTTATAAATAATACGAGATATCAAAGTTTAAGAAAATTGTTCTCCTTTTCATTAGTCTTTTGTTATTTTCTTTAATACTTCTTCTTTGTTTCTTGCGGCGTTCCATGATCCCGCCTCGTCCAGTGACGTAGCACCAAACTTTCTCTTGAAAAGGTGTCTCTCTAGCCTGTCAAACGTGTTGGTTTCCGACGTTTCCTTGTTGTTTATGTTCAACTTCGCTAGTCGCAATCTGTAGGCCTCAAGTGCTGCCAGGTTCAACTCGGTGACATCATCCTCACAACCAATCAGTTTTATCGAGTGGGATACGGGACTGCCATACCTCTTCGGTCCCTGGTTTTTAGTTTGTCTATTACTCCGTCTGACTGTCGTGGTGTCTTCCTCCTTATCGGATTCATCCGCAAATCCTGGTGTGGAATAATCTACTGGGTCCATTTGTGGTGACATTAGTTTTTCGGCTTCTTTTTGGACTCCGCGGGTCAACATTTGATTTGTTACATCTTCCCATTCTTGAGATGTCATGTTATTGTTTTGAAATGTGTCCAGAATTTCTTTTTCGCTTGTCTGTTGTGTGATCTTCTTGGTAGTAGGAACTTCCTTTGGTGTCGACGACGGTATGTATACTGCCTCGTTACTCGTATCACGTTGTTTAGTAACTGTTTTGGCAGCTTTCGTCGTTCCTGATTCTTGTGTTTTGCCCCTTGTCGGTTTTGTGTTCTGGGCTACTGGTCCTGCTCTGTTCGGTTTTCCCCGTTTACCTCCTAAGTTAAGGCCTCCGCCGGTTCTTGTGTCTCTTGATGTGACTACGCTCGGTGAGTTTTGGAACTTTTCTTTTAGCTGACTATCCTCTAGATTTTCATCTCTCAGCCCCCGGTCTTTCGCGTCGTGTTCTTCGGCAGAATCGCTGTCTTCCTCTACTGGAAGTGTTCCTGTTTTTTGTTGTTTACTTCTCGGTTCCTCTCCGGTTGGGCTCCTTTTCTTCTCTGGATTATAGACTTTGGGCTGTGTTGTCAGTTTAGATCGTGCAATGTCGCTTTTTCGATATACTGCACCCGCAGCCGTTTTGATGGTCGATGGTGTCGCTGATACTATCTTGGATTTTAAGGGTATTGTCAGGGCCTTCCCGCTCTTCCTTTGTTCGTGTTTCCGAAGGAAACTTCCAGACAAATCCTCCTTTGATTTGGTTTGTTTGTCTTCGATGAATCCACGTTCCCATGAGTATAGAAGTTCTTTCCTCAGTTCGGGATTTATCGTGCTGGTTTCATCTACGACCCGGCGTAATTCACTGTCTGAGAGGTCCCGTCTGGTGGCATTCCACTTAGCGTTTGCCTCTAGAAGTTGTTTGAGTTCTTTAGCTCTGGCCCTCTCTTTTGCCATCGCCGTGTCGTGTCGAAACAAAGGGCTTGTATCCCTGCTATTTCTTCCTTTGCGAATGATTTTAACATTCTCCCTCGACTGATCTATTCGCCTTTTCAGCTGTGATGCTGTTAGTGCCGATCTCTCCAAGTGTTCTTTATCTAAACGATCAGAATCTATCAAAAATTTATCCCTAACAATCTTAAATTCCGTTTTCGTTAATCGGCCAAAGTGTGCTTCGAACGGGGACACTTTTATTGATTTCTGTTTATTCCATCTTAGGTCCCTAATTATTGTACTCAATTATAATTTAATCGATTGTAATTTCTCGTCGAGTAGCATTACCCCCAATCTTCTTTTAATGGTTTGTATCGTTCGTTCGACTAAGCCACATCCTCGGTGATCCCCGACTGGACAGAATTTTTGTGCGATGTTATTTTCGGTGCAAAATTTTTTCATAGCTTTCCATTTGAACCCCGAAAATTGGTCCGTTTTAATCGATTCCGGTATTCCATGAGTGTCTATGTAAGTACGGAGAAATTTTATTGTTGATTTTCCCCCTGTAGATTTCGTTACTTTGACTGATGGAAATTTTGAGTATCTATCGATAGCGACTAATAAGTATATCTTCTTCCCCTTATGATCTTCAAGTGGGCCCGCATAATCTAATTGTAGTT